TGTGGCTGGGGCTGAGGCAAGCTGCGGCTGAGGCAGGCTGAGGCTGAGGCTGATGCAGGCTGAGGCTGAGGCAGGCTGAGGCAGGCTGAGGCTGAGGCTGATGCAGGCTGAGGCTGAGGCTGAGGCTGAGGCCGAGGCAGGCTGAGGCTGAGGCCGAGGCAAGCCGAGGCAGGCTGAGGCTGCGACCGCGAGAACAGCAGAATTCTACAACTGGATTCTCACATAAATCTGAAGGGGAATGCTTCCAGGTATGCTTCTACACATCGCTGTTAGGTTGCTTAGCCGGGAAAACTTATTATTCGTATTCGGATTATGATTATTCATCTTCTTCTTCTTCTCCTCCTCCTGCTGCTGCTGGTGCTGTCTCCTCCTCCTCCTCCTCGTCCTCCTCCTCCTACCTCCTCCTCCTCCTCCTCCTCCTCCTCCTCCTCCTCCACCTCCTCCTCCTCCTCCCCCCACCCCCGTATCCTCCTCCTCCTCCTCCTCCTCCTCCTCCGCCTCCTCGCTCCTCTCCTCCTCCTCCATCCTCCTACTTTCTCCTCCTCCTCCTCCTCCTCCGCCTCTCCTCCTATCCGCCTCTCCTCCGCCTCCTCCTCCTTCGCCGTGTCCCCCTGTCCCCCCTCCATCCCTCCTCCCTCGCTTGGTCCAAGGATCCCGAGTCCGCCCCCGAGGCTCTAGGCGGGCGAGGGCGCACACAGCCGCAAGCCGCGCGCGCTCGCCCGCGCGCCAGGCGCCCGCGGCTCCCCGCCGCCGTCCAGGAAGGCCAGCGAGCCGCCCCGCCCTCGTTCCCGCCCTCGCTCCCGCCGCCCACCCGCCCCACTCCCCCCCCCCTCTTCCCACCCCTCCCTTCCGCCATTTCGCCCCATTCCCCACTTCCCTCCCTTCCGCCATCCCTCCCTCGCCTCCCATCCCCCCTCCCGCCGTCCCGCCATCCCGGCCATCCCTCCCTCCCCCTCCTCCACCAACTGGCCGTCAGCGGGGCGGCAGATCCGCGGCGACCTCGAGGATCACGTCAAACAATACGGCACCCGCGAAGAGCGATGCCGCAATCTTCGTGATTACGTACGCTAAGATGGAGATCCCCGCGAGGAAGAGGCCTCCGCCCACAATCGAGGCCGACGGTGTCCGCTAGCGCGCATATGGCCGCTCGCATAGAGGCCTCCCGAATGGGATCCGAAAAGATAGGGTCGGAGGATCGCAACGCAACGCCGATGCATCGCTGACGCATCACGGATGCATCGGCGGCGTCGGCGATGCATCGGCGCCGTCGGCGTGGGGAAAATCGGGCTCCAAATCGGGCCGCATTGCCGATGCATCGAAGATGCGGCGCGATCCTCCGACCCCATCTACTTCGACCCGATGTGGGAGGACTAGAATATAGAGACTTCAACCGTCCCCCGTCCGCTCTCTCCATTTTCCTCTCCTCCTCCTCCTCCTTCTTCTCCTCCTCCTCCTCCTCCTCCTCCTCCTCCTCCTCCCCGACCTCCGACATCCTCAGTTGTTCGATACGTGGCGCCCGCAGCCCCCGATCCCATTCCTGAGGACTGGCCGCTCATCCTGAGTCACTTTGAGGGCCCATGCGGCCTGTACAGGGCCCCCAGAGGCCGATGCAAGGAGGGTGCGTCTGCTGATAAGAACGGCAATGAAGACACGGACTAGAATGGGCAGAAGGGCGAGACGAAGGTGACGATGATCATGTGCATGAGGATGGCGGGGAGGAGCATAATGTTCGTGATGTGTCTACTTGTCTGTGTGGCGGTGATGAGGGTGCCAATGAGCACGACGTCGAGAAGGGCGGATGCGTACAATGAGGATGAGGACGAGCAAGAGGTTGATGGAAGCAATATGATGATGATGATGATGATGATGATGATGATGATGATGATGATGATGATGATTACGATGAGCTGTGGGAGGAGGGTGATGATTCAAGTGAGGACGCATGTGTGCAGGCGCAGGATGGGGGTGATTGTGACTTTTGGCACTGGCCGCCAAAGACCCCGCCCATGTGTGGCAAAAGAGAACAAGCTCGAGTGACCCCGCTCCACCTGCGGTGGAGCCAACTGTCGAACAACCTCCAGATCTCGCCCTTGTCGGGATCTGCGAGGGGCTTGCATGTCGCCGAGGGCTTGGCCAGCCGAGCACCTGAGGTGACACGACCACACCGCTGACATACCCACACGAGACAACGCTTGCGGCCCACCATGGCCCAACTCTCGCAACACGTGCGGCTGGACCCGCAAAGACCGGAAACATCCTCCTCCAGGAGAGTCGGATGCCGTGCGGAGTCCGAGAACTTTCCAAGACGCCCAAGGTGCCGCCACGACAGCCCACGGCCCCCGAGAGAAGATGGCAGAACCAATGAAGGGTTAGACCACTTTTAGCGGTTTTGCCTTTTTCGGGGGTCCAACGCTCCAAGACGGCCCAACATCGCCCAAACACGGCCAAAGAGGCCCCTAATACGGCCCAAGAGGGCCTCAGACCTGGAGCACGAAGTCCCACATCGAGTCTCTCCCCCCAAGATCGCCCCCCCGTGGCCCCGGCACACACACATACACACACACACACACACTCAGTTACACGCACACATACTTGTTTTGCATCAGCAGCTGGGCAATACATACACATACACGAACACACACACACACACACACACACGCACACACACACACACACACACACCCGAGAGGCCCCCGAGAGGGACGGCTCCGGGAGGAGGCACGGCACCACTTGTTGAAGCGGCGCTCGAACCACTCCGGGACGGTCATGAGGTCCAGCCCCTCGCGGGGCAGCGGATGGGCGGGCCGCTTCCCCAGAGGGGCAGAGCGCCAAGGCCCCTTCGGCTTGCGCCTCTGCAGCGGTGCCCTGCCTCCCCCCATCATCCCACTCCCCGTCCTCCTCGTTCTCGTTCACTTGCTCGCCACCGAAGGACTTTCCGAGATAAGCGCAGCCCGTACCCAAGGAAAAGAAAAAATTACTCAACATGCTCATGGGGGAGAGGTCAAGAGGACGCCGCCACGGGTGCGGAGGCGGCGCTTCCCCCTCCTCCACCTCCTGCTCCTCCGACTCCTTCCTCCGCCTCTGTTCAACAGCCCAGCGGCATGCTAGGACCCCCTGCCAATAGACCCTGGCAACAGAGCGTCTGGAAAAACGACCTTGCGGCACGAAGTTCGCCTTTGGCATCAGGCAAGAGCGGTCGACTCGCATCACCTCACTCTCGGCCTCTCCCCTTCCGCATGACCGATTCCTCCTCCTCCTCCTTCACCTGCCCATACAGTCTCATGTATAATGCCCCGCGTCGTGCAGCGTCGGTGACCGTTGTCGGACCTCCTTCTCGTCGACGTCGTCGTCATACTACTTCTCCAGTTTCTCCTCTATTCTTCCAATTCCTCTTCCTCCTCACTATTATACACCCTCCCACTTCTCAGGTTCCTCCTGCTCATCTTTCTCCTCCTCATCCGCCTCCTCTTCTTCCTCATCCTTATCCTCCTTCTCTGCTTTGCATTCTCGACTTCGTCCTCCTTCTCATCCCCACTCAGAGTAAGGAACTACAGCGCGTGCTTCGACAAAGCTGCCCACAGGGAGGAGCACGAAGGGCTCGCCAGGTACATCGGCGCCAGGCCCCAGCCGAGGGCGAATATCAGCAGGCCAGCGGTCCTGCCAACTGGGTGGGTGGGGCCCACTGGGCACGGCAAGTTACCGCAAGAACTTTGTCCTCCCCCCCCCGCCTGAACGCTCCGCCCGCTCCCCCTATCGTGTTCATCCTCCCCGCTGCTCGCCCCCCCCCCAACCTCCGGCTTCGTTTAGTTTTCACGCCGCGGACCCCTGGACGTCTGGAGCCTTTCCCGTGGGCCGCCAGTGAGGACGTCAGTGACCTAGCGCCGATCCGAATCCAAGAAGTGTTCGCGGACCTCCAGGAGCTTGCGTTTGTGCGGCTTTTGCTCCTCGATATACGAGTCAGCCAGACCTCGTCTCACTTCACGTTCGCACTATTGCATCCGCCGACCCTGTCGGCGTGTGGAAGAGGCTGTGCCAGTTGACTCGTCGTCGTCGTCGTCAACGTCGTGGTCATTGTCGTCGTCGTCGCCTTCGCCGCTCGCTTCCCCCCTTTTCCCTAGGCCCGTCGCCGTTCCCCCCACTTTCACCGGGTTTTCCTCCTCGAGCGCGCCATCCACAGCGAAATTGAACAACGTTGTAGTTGAGTCGAAGGGAAGCCCCCTTTGATCCCTTCTCCACCGGGGGGGGGGGTCCCGGCCGGGGGTGAGGTCCCGGGGAGGGTCCCGGGGGGGGTCCCGGCCAGGGGTCCCGGGGGAGTCCTGGAGCAGGTACGACTCCCCCTCGAGGCGGCCAAGAAATGCCGCAGGACGCGGCAAAACTGCTCCAAGATGCACCCAAGACAGTCCTCGAGGGCCCCGAATCGCCGAAGTATCGGTCCAAGTCGCCAAAGTAGCCTTCAGACAGCTCAGAAGGTTTCCAAAACGCCCCATGGCCTCCAAAAGGACTTTCAAGAGGGTCCCAAGGGGCAAAAATCCGCTGGCCCCCTTGTGGGGCCACCAGGCTGTAGGGCCAAGGTTCGCAGTTTCCTGTGCCAGTTGCAGCTTCCAGTTTCCACTGTTACAGTTCTGCTTCTTGCTGCTTACTGTTCCTTGTTGATGGACCGCGCGAAGGGGGGAGGCCCAAAACGGTTATGTTTGTCCACGCCCTGAGCGTGTGCTCTGAATTGCTGGGGTGGGTAAAAATTTACACCCCTCACGCAGATCGGCGGGGCCAGGGCCCAAAAACACACAGGATTTGCCACCCGTCACGCAGATCGGTAGGGTCAGGGTCCAAAAACAAATAGGATTTGCCACATTTCTCATATTTGCTGACACCCCTCACGCACATCGGCGGGGTCAGGGTCCGAAAACACATGGGATTTGCCACATTTCTGAAATTCGGTGGCAACCCTCATACAGATCGGCGGAGTCAGGGTCCAAAAACACATGGGACTTGCCACATTTCTGACATTTGCTGGCACACCTCACGCAGATCGGCGGGGTCAGGGTTCAAAAACACATGGGATTTGCCACATGTCTGAAATTCGGCAGCACCCGTGACGCAGATCGGCGGGGTCAGGGTGCAACAACATAAGGGAATTGCGACATTTCTAAAATTTGCTGGCACCCATCACGCAGATCGGCGGGGTCAGGGTGCAAAAACATAAGGGAATTGCGACATTTCCGAAATTTGCTGGCACCCATCACGCAGATCGGCGGGGTCAGGGTGCAAAAACACATGGGATTTGCCACATGTCTGAAATTCGGCGGCACCCCTCACGCAGATCCGTAGGGTCAGGGTCCAAAAACATGAAGGATTTGCCACATGTCTGAAGTTCGGTGGCACCCGTGACGCAGATCCGTAGGGCCAGGGTCGAAAAACAAACAGGTCCCGCCACTGCTTCACGGCGGCGCCCAGACATCATGATTTAGCTTTTGCATCTCCCATTATCCGAGACAGGGGGCCGGCGGCATGGGGCGAAGCCCTTACGGATCATCGATTTCCTGTAATTTGTTAAAAGATTTCGGCATTCTCGCCTTGTCAGCTTCCCGACGCTCCAAGACAGGCCAAGAAGCCCCCAAGACCGCCCCAAGAGGCCTCCAAGAGAGCTCCAAAACGACCCAAGAGGGCCCCAAGACCGACCAAGAGGCTTCCAGAACAGCCGAAGAGGCCCCCAAGACGGCTCCAAGAAAGAGCCCAGACGCGGGAACCGAACAGACATTTCGAGCCCTCGGCCTGAGAAGCTCTCAGGCCCCCAGGGGGGGCCAAGAAGCCCCTCAAGAAGCCCCAAGAAGCCCCCAAGAGACCCCCAGGAAGCCCCACGAGGCTTCCAAGCGGCCCCCAAGAGCTTCCCAAGAGGCCCCCAAACTACCCCCAAGAGGCCCTCGAGAGCGCTCGTCGTCGACGTCGTCGTCGCCATGAAGGGTCGGCGGCACCGGCCGTAAGGCCTTCGCAATAAAGTGGGCTGCGGGCTAAGCCGTCGCGCTCCGACAGACAAAGTCAGCGTTGGGAAAAGGAGGATGAAGAAAAAGAAGGATGCTGTTCTGACTACCTACCAAACCACCCCAACCCAACCCGAAGACCCGAATTTCAGGTTGGGGGGGGTACGGGTTCCACATTTGTTTTTTCAATGTTCTCCGACCCCCTCCACTGGAAATGGAAGGCAACTTGAGGCCGTCGGGTTGGGTTGGGGTGGTTTGGTAGGTGGTGATGTTCCCCCCGTGGGGCCAACATCTCGCAGCCGCGACCTCTCCTGGAAGGTCCAGGCCAGTTTGTTTAGGAAGACCACTTCCACTGTAGGGCCCGACTTGTTTGGGGACCTTTCTTGGGGGGAGAGTCCTATCTTGAGCTATGTGGGCCTTGTGTTTCACCAACTTGGGGCCGTCTACAAAGGAAACCCGATCGACAACAAACGAAGCGAAATTATGACATCATTTGACAGTCACGTGTGTTGCTTGCCTTCTATGTGTCGCCATGTCTTTAAAGCAAATGCCCCCCCCGCCCCTTCTGATCTGGTCAACACGCCACCGTGCAAGCGCAACTTACGGGGAAGGGAATAGACGGACGGAACAACCAGGAACGGCGGGGACAGGGAGGACGAGGACCACCGCTCGGCTATGGGGGGGTCAAAGATCCTTCGCGAAGAGATCCGCAGACCCTCACAGGGTCTTCGAATCGCACAGCTTTCCCAAAGACGCCACCTGCACGGGCGGCACATATACATGGTACTGAAACATGCTGGCAAAGAATGGCTGTAAGCCATGCTAAGAATGGTAGGTGTACCTCTAACCTTCTTCCGTAGCACCTGTTCCCACGCAGCATCGGGACGGCCTCGGGCGCGCCCTCGGGATGCCGGGACATAGGAAGGTGGCCTCATCGGTGGTATTCACCTGCCGCCCTCCGTTTTCGAAACTGTGGCTGGGCTTCTCGTCCTGCAGGATGGCGCTCACGCTGAAGCCTTTTTCGTCGGCAGACGGCGGCAGCGCACTCGGCAACTCCATGGTCGGGTGGCCGACGGCGTCCTCCAGGTCTGCGCTCTCTTTGCTGGCCTGGCCCTCTTGCAGCGGGGCTGGGATGATGGGGTCGCGCCGCGAACCCGGCGGTCAGAGCCTCGCCCGCGCGCGCCGCTCCAGGGCGTCCAGCCGGCGGCTCCCAGTGGGCCACCAAACAGCAGCTGGCGGCCCCCGCAGCCTTGCACCTTCGCCTGGCCTTGCCCCGACAGCGCAGCGCAGGCCGCGAAAAGGGGGGAGACTGAGCCACTCTCGAAAGAACCTGGGCGAGACAAGGTGCGGCTCCAGCCGAACGAGGCTTGAGCCACAATTTCTACGCATGGGGGGGGCGAGGAGAGGGCAATGGGGTGGGGCGAGGAGAGGGGGAAGAGGAGGAGGAGGAGGAGGAGGAGGAGGAGGAGAAGGAAGGGGAGGAGGAACATAATGGAACGGGGAGTCGGATGCGTTTTCACCTAGCCAGCGCCCGGTTGCCTCGAGGTCTCGAATCGACCGTCGCCGAGTCCCGCCCGCAAAAGTCGGAACTCCCCCTCGCGGGCGTCTAGAAGAAACGCCGCAGAGCTGGGGCCGGAGATTCTCCAAGCCAGAGGGCAGCCAGAGAGAGTCTGCAGTCTGCGGCGCCTTCCGCGGCGCACTGTCGTAAGTGCCGCGGGCCAACAGAAAGTCGCGACCCCAAGGCAGCCTGCCAGTCTCGAGCACACGTAAGAGTGACCCTTCGCTGGAGTGACTTTTAGTGCTGGCACCAAGGGGGTCGGGTGAGTTTTCTTCGGGATGGGCTTGACCTCGCGTCGACACCCACACCGCGCGGTTGCGCTCGCATATGAGCGCGCCAGACTTGCGCCCCACATGAAATCGATAGCAGCGCATACGGGGGGCACCAAAAACAGCGCATAAGAGTGCATCTGTTCCACGCGGCGGGGCCGGTCCACAAGGCGGCGCGTTGTCTTGCCCCGGGCCAGTCCCGAATCCCAGCCCATATTCCAATTCATGCGACATATGTGCATATCTTTTTGGTGTTTTGGGATATCTGTGCATATCTTCGAGTCGCCCTGGACATGTTAGAACTACTTTTGATGAACCAATAGACTTTTAACTTTTGTAAGACATCCAAGAATATTCGAACATATTCCGGGCCAGCGGATGATGCCAGTCTTGGCCATGACGCCAGACCTGGTCAGACGTCATCGGGACGCGACCTGGCAGTGCCAGAGATCTTCGTGGTGGCCCCCGCGGCGTCTGCTTTCGCAGCGTCTTCGACGGGCAACTTGCGGCGCTCGAGCCCGGCTGGCGGAATTCAGCGGTTGTCCGCTGGCACAAAACAAAATCCCGAGGCGCGCCCCGCCGATGGTCGATGCGGCACGGCAGCGCTGGCTTTCGCGCAAGCGTTGGGCCTCCATGGGGGCCCCTGGAACCGCGCACCAAAATTCACCCTGGCCTAGGGCTATTTGCACGAGTAGTCGACAGTCGCGAGCGCACGGGGCACGCGCGCAGCCCGGGCCAAAGCCAACGCGCTGAACGGTTCAGCCCCCCACGCGAGCAGGCGGGGAGAAATGCTCTTTCACATCTTGCTCTCTCTCTCTCTCTCTCTCTCTCTCTCTCTCTGCTCCTCGGCCGCCTCCTGCTTCGCGGCCGCGTCGGGGCTCGGACCCCGCGCCGCCGCCGCCCGGCTGTCGGCGTAGCACCGCTGCGCGGCGGGCCATCCAATCGGCGTCTCGGCCGCGGTGTCGCATCTGCGCCCGCCCGCGCGCCTGCCGGGCCCCCCGGTTGCAGGCTGCCTCGCGAGCTCGATCGCCGCGCCGTCGCCGAGGGAGTCTGGATCCCCTTGGCGCGCCAGCGTCGGTCTCGTGGCGGCGAGGTTCAGCTGCAGTCAAGGCTGGTGGATCTTCGAGGACAAGAGGTCGGCGCAATGGGTGCGTCGATGTTCTCGAGAGAGCGGTCGCGCGCGAGCGTGTCTCTGGCGGCCGCGCGGGCCAGCCATGCTGACGCTGCGCGCGGGGGGGGGTCGAGCCCGAGATGCTCATCCCCACGCGTCATAGCGGAATGGCTGCCGTGACCTGCTCGCGCCGCACCCCCGCTTAAACTATTGCAACCTCGAAAGAATAAGCGGAGCGTTTTGTAGTGCCCCCCAGCGTAGTACATATTGAATGTCGAGAAGTCGCCATGGTCCTGCACATTCAAGAACGCGCATTTACCATTGACGCGACCACGGCGATGACAGTGAAACTGCAAATATAGATGATGTTAAGTGCGCGTGCTGACTTGAACGCAGTGGCAGAGGTGTTTCGAAATCGCCAACTAGGTTCCCGGCGCGAGAAACAAGGGCCTTCACGGCCATGGGCTCAATATGACTCCAGGCGTCCGTCTTCAACTAGTGCATGACCCTGGGGATGCTCATGCGGCCCTTCTGCCTCTTCTCGGTATTGTGATTGCCCTGGTCGCTGCCCTGGTCCTTCGCCCCGTCGGTCTCGGTCGCGTCGGCGTTCGCATCGCGCCCGCCCTGCGACTCCTTCTTGGACTGCGACAGCGGCGACTGGGATTCTGCACGGAAAGCGCGGCCGTTTCCACAGCGTCGATCAGGCCCTGGTCGGTCATGGGGGAGGTTGTTCGCCCGACACGCTGGATGGAGAGATGGGCGCCGCGTGGAGCTTGGCCCAGCTCAGCTGCCACTGCGCCAAATTACCAAGCATCGGGGCCAAGCACCATTCCGTGATGGCACCAGCGATTGCGGCGGCGTCCCCATCGGTCACCTCGCGAGCCCCATCACCAACCATGTTTGCGAGCCCGGATGTGGAGATCCAAACTGGGGATATCACCCGCGACGAGTTCGACCAGGGAGTTGACAACTCCTCGCGCCCGAAGCAGCGCAAGCAATGGCAGCCGCCAGACCCTTAATTAAACACCTGGCAACAGCCTCCGTCGGGGACGTCCCGCTCAGTTTCGCAATCTCCTTGGCATGCACTGCGAACTCAAACCGCTCGAGACGAACGTAGGCTGGGCGTTATTGGTGAAACCCATCAAGCCCCCGATGCCCCAGTGCACCGTGGCGCCGGCACTCTTCCTGAATTCCTCGGCTGCTGGGGCGATGGAGCTGCCCGTGGGCGCGCGAGCGAGCCGGCGCCGAATCAACTGTTCTGCGTTGTGGCTCATGAAACGAAGAATCCCTGGCAGGCGGATGCCTGCGTTGCGACGCCCTCCTCTGCGATCGGACCTGATGGGTATTTGGGCACAGTTCTGGGTGGGCGCTTCGCTTCCACCCCCGCGGCTTCGCGCGCGCGGAACAAGGCGGCATGCTCGCGGCCCGTTGCCCGCCGCGCCCGCCGGGGCGAGAAGCGCCCATCTTGGCTTGCATGGCCGACGTCGCCGCCACCAAGGTGGGCGGCCGGGCCCGCGGCGCGGACCGCTCGGCAACCTCGGCGGCGAAGCAGATGCGCAGCGCCGCGCGGCGGGCAGACCAACTCTCTGGGCGCGAGGACTCAGGGAGAGGAGGATGGGGCGGCGGGGGGAAGAGGGGGGGAGGCAAGGGAGATGAGGAACAGATTCTCGATGCTAGGACGATCCCCAACGGTGACCTCCTCGTCGAACTGGCCTCGGGATTCAGCCTTGGGAACAGTCGAGGGCAGTCGGCTTCGTTTCGTCGTTGCGAGAGAACATTGATATTGCAACTCTCCAGGAGCCCGATGCCGAACTCATCTGAGCGAAGCTCGGAGTGCCACTGGGGCTCGCCATTTGCGCTCTACTAATGAGAACCTCCTTGATTGTTGCATGGCGGTCCAGACATTTCTGGGGAATGTCGCGTTGCCTCCCCCTATCGGTCTTCTGGCGCGCGCCCCTATTCCTCGGGCTTCAAAGGCGTTCCAGAGGCTGCGAGCACGCTCGAACATATCTGAGCAAGGGAATGTAGCCGCGATGTTCTCCTACGCGAGATTGGACAAACTATTCGCCGCCGTTCCTCGATGCCCGGCACGCCAAGTCAGCGACCGCTCGCTCCACATCCTGGAAAGGCACCGAAATGGTGACGCACGCGCCAAGTGCGGGAATCAGTGCAGGAATCGCGGATGTGCTCCGGCATGGAGCGCCACGGTCCTCCATGATGACGCACTGCGTCGCTGCGCTATGTGGCTGCGCCCTGGGGCCTCGACGCCTACGTAGCCGAGCGTCACTGTCTTGCCCGCGACCGCCCTGGCGTACAGCTCACCAGTGTCGCGTGCAAAGTCAAGAATAGGGCCGCCAGGATGATTCCAATGCTGCAGTCCGCCCTTCGCGATTTACATGATGCGGACGGCAAGCAATTCTTTTTCAAAGCTGGGACGTCGCCTGAATGGCAGGCCCATAAGGCGTTCGTCTTTCATGGGGGCGCCTCTCACAAAGAGAAGGGCGGTTTGCAGGACTCATGAGGAGTGGATTTGACATGCGAGGGACCCTCCTTCTCCTGCTCCTGCTCCTCCCCCTCCTCCTCCTCCTCCTCCTCCTCCTCCTCCTCCTCCTCCTCCTCCTCCCCCTCCTCCTCCTCCCCCTCCTCCGCATCCTCCTGATACTCGTCTGCCTCACGACTTGTCCTGGGGCAAGCCCTGGTTGGAAGCACGAAACACCTGCATAAACATTACGCAATTCTCGGAGCTCCGCGCGGAATTCTTGGATCGGTTCTGGACCTCCCCTTCCTCGCACACGGAGCGCGCCAAGGGCGTCGTTGGAGGCACCGCCAAGGGGTCTGAACGCCGATGCACGCAATCCGCGTGGAGCTCCGAGAGTTAATGTTCATGCCGCTTGTTGTCCATCGAATGGAAACCTCACTGCTGGCGAGAGAAACTCGAGGGAAACGACCAAAACACGTATCCTCCGCGCGCGGTGGCTGGGGGGGGTCCACTCATAGATCGCCACGGGCATGCCGGTGGCGGCCGCCGCGCCGGCCTGTCCACTCCACTCCCCCCAGGCGGGGGGGCGCCGTCGTCGTCGTCGTCGTCGTCGTCGTCGTCGTCGGCGTCGTCGTCGTCGTCGTCGTCGTCTTCGTCGTCGTGTGCTCTCACTCCTCCTCCTCCTCCTCTTCCTCCTCCTCCTCCTCCTCCCTCCTCCTCCTCCTTCTCCTCCTCCTCTTCCTCCTCTTCTTCCTCCTCATCCTAATTCTCCTCCTCGCCTCCCACTCACCCCGCGCATGCGGGAGCGCGGGCGCCCGGAGTAAGGAGGGAGTGGAGGAGGTACCAAACGACACCTTGGCGGCGGAAGACCCGATGCAACATACAATAAGGAGAGCAACCGCACGGGAGACCATCCAGGACAGCACGAAAGAGACCATGCGTGAGATCATACAACAAACCTGATAAGATACCGTGCGGATATGCGAAATATCAAATGGGATCCCAGGCTTGAGACCATACAAAAGACCATGCCAGAGACCATGCGGAAGACCATACGGGGGACCATAAGAAAAAACACGTCAAACCATACGGGAGACCAGGCGGAAGACCGTACTGGAGACCATGCGGGAGACAAAATGGGAGACCATGCGGAAGACCATACGGGAAACCACACGGGATGCCACACGGAAGAGCACAAGCCACATTCCGCTGATTCTAAGCCTGGATCCGCACGCACCGGGCTTTGGGGGAGCAAACATCCCAACGACAGACTGCGGCGAGACGAGGCCTCCCCGATCCCTAGGCCGTCCCTGGGTGAACGGCGACGGAGCTTAGCCTGATCAAGACGGTCTACCTGCAGCGGGGGGCGTGCCTTCCAGCAGAGGGCTCAAACGCCCAGCCATTACCCGAGGATTTCCCCCAGGACAACTAGAAACCAGACCAGCCCTAGTGTCGCTAGCGTATCTGGCACATCCACAGCAGAAGACGACCCACGAGAGGCGTACTGATTAATGCCCCTGGGCGCGGGCCCGCTTGATCCTGCCCCCGTCACCGTCCAACTCCACCTTAAGGGGCAGAGGCCTGGCAGCAGCCAGGCAAAAGGCGACTGATCGGGGGGATCACTGTAGTTCAACAGCCTCTCGCGCGGGCTCGAGCCTTCAGAGGTGCCAGCGAGCCCTCAGCCCAACACCTAACACTCCAACGTAGACTGAGAGCTCCAGGACATCCAAAAAGAGTCTGGAACTCTCTGACTTCGGGCTGCTCGGTGCCACTCAGGATGCGGCTGCCTGGCTCCGAACTCAGCATGCTCATCGGCGAACTGATTGCCAACCCACCGCTCGAGGCCCTTACCGTTTCGCTGGACATTCGTCGCGTGGGTGCATACCTTGCCGAAAGTAACTCCTCGCGGCCCCAGCAACCATTTCCGGCGATCAGGGCCCACCAGCGCGCCCACAGGTCTCCATGCGTTGTGGCGGAGCACGCCATCTAAGTCCACGAGCGCACCCAATGAGGGCTCGAGCGGGCGCGGATGTCCTGATAAATTGTGAGGAAGTCCCTGGCGGGAGCCGCGCTGTTGAAACAGAACCTACCAGCGCATAGCGTGATGTCTGAGCCGATTGCCACGGACCCCCTTGCGAAAACACGATTCCTGAATAACCCGTGCGGGAATCTAGGGCGGCAGCGGGGTTCCCGCGTAGATCACGCGGCCTTCAAAGCTTCTACATAATGTGTAAGAACATCCTTGGCGAGAATATATTTCATGGGAAATTGTTAAGACGTCTGGAACGGGAAAGGGAGGGGGGCCAGGAAATCCAGAGGAACAAATCAAAAACCGTTGTTGCTGCAGCTAGGCCTTCAACAACTCCCATTCGGACTGAAACCCGCGCTCCAGCGTGAACCTCGCTGTCCAAGAGAACGCAACCCCCGCTGGAACGAGAACGTTCCGTCGCTAATCTTCCGTAGGCCAACAACGACTTTACCATAGGAGTTGGTATCCAAGGCCACGCGCCAGACTATGGCGCGGCGCTTCGGCCAGAAAAGCGGCACGCCGCGAAACCCGAGTAATCTACATCGGGGCGCACTGCATTAACTCGTGAACGCATTGGGCCCAAGTGGAACGTTGGGCACCAACGCTTCACTTGCAACCCCCCATTGTATTGGACCACTCCATCTGGGCTCTCGCGCAAGGGCTGTTTCATTCTTCAGGCACGCGTGCTAGGTCGTCCATCCGCAGTGATGCGCCGTCGTGTAGACCACTATGGCGATCGCAAGCAGTGGAAAGCATTCGTGCTAGATCTTGAATGTCGCTCGCAAACACGACTTCTGCAAACTGCTCAAGTCAAGCAGGGCCTTCCTATAGAAACCCAGACACGCCTAATTTTCACGAGAAGCTTAGAGTCGCAACCGTATCGAACAGGCCGTTTTGCGAGGTTCCGACGACGCCTGCGCCGCCCCTTCATGTGTGCAGCGAGATGAAGAACACCTCGGCCTCGCCCGTCCGCCGCGCGATGCCCGGCTTGCTTTCGCTTCGATGTCAAAGCAAAGCCATCTGAACAACATATTTGTACTAGTGCTACTGTTGATTGGCTGCGTGGGCGGGCGGCGCATGACGCCGGTGCTGCCGGTTGTTGCGGCCGCCGTTTTCTCGCAAGTAAAATATAACTCACGTTGCTACCCCATGGCGCTAGCCAGGTGCAACAGCACATGTAGCCTGGACTGGTTCGCGCTGGAGAGCACGGCGTCGCCCGCGCGCATGGTGTCATTGAGCGCCGCCCACACCGACTCCCGGCAACCGTGCTCAATTTCTTTGGCCCTGGTCGACATAGAGCATGCCCGATCAATAAAATAACAATTTCGAACAAGCGGCAACCTGCGGCAGCGCCTGGCCCACGTTGCCAGATGCTGGATCCCCTGCCCGGTCCTTCGACGTAAGAAGCACTTTTCTCTATGATAATGAACATAGCGTCGGAAATTCGTTTCGGGGCGCCCCGTCGAAAGCACAGGGCCAGAACCGCAATGCCGTCACCAGATCGACGTGCCGCGCGTTTTGCGCTGCGTCGAGAACGCGGCGCACAATCCAAAACGTTCACGTAGCGCCTCGTGTCTGTCTGAAGCCGAACCGAATGGAACGCATTCCACACTCGGGCCCTCCTCGTTGAAATCGCCCATGGATCGCCCGCGACAAGTCCTTGCATCCAACGGGTCAATCGGGCTATAATTCCCCGTTGGGATCGCGCCCCTTTTTCCGCGCGCGCGAGCGACTGCGGCAATCCGCCAAAATTGCATCCCCAACATGTCTGACATGGGCCCAGGATGTTCGTGGAGGCGGTGCTCGACGCAAGGCATGTTCAAACTGTGACGTTGTCCCCTCGCTTCCTGCTGCATTGCCCAGCGACGCGCGAGTTCCGACACTTCTGACAGCTCCCGCATAGCGAAATTGAAAGCGTTGCCCTCCTGGTGAGCGCCAGCGTAGCCGGCCCGAACTTTTTCTCATTGCTCGGCCCGCGCTGTCACCCCCCCCCCGTCCCCCGCCGTTCTCGATGGCAGTGGGCGACTGCCCCAGAGTTTTGCCCGCCGTCCGAGACATTCTCGCGCGCCCAGCCACCTTCGCATGCCGCGTGCGTGAACCACGCCCATGACTTCCCAAGTAACATGAGCAGCGAAACTGTACGCATGTTGCTCGCCAAATGCACAGTTCCCGACAGACCAATAAGTGACCCTAAAGACAAAGCTGCGCATCCCACTCGAAGGGGCATCGCATGCAACGACGAGATCGGAATGGCACCCCTGTAGGTCCCATCAGGGGCCCCCCGTGCGAATGCAATTTTCTGCGTTGGTTGTTGCGCCCCCATCCGCACCAGCCCCCATCAAATGGCGGCCTTGCGAAACGCCGCGCCGAATCAGGCATTGCAATCGACCGCGGCAATCGCGCAACTATGTCCCCCGCATGTTACCAGCGCCAATGCTTTGCAAACGTCGTCCAACCTTGGTCTTCTGTCTTCTTTCTTTCGGCGCAGCCTAAAGCGCCTCAGGCGCTGGCAGATGAATGCGGCAGAGCTGGATCTAACGCTGGATCTAGAGTCTCCTGCGCATGGCACGTGAATCAGATGCAATCAGCCGCCCGGCGCACGATGCACATTCCTCCAAAGCAATGGCCTCCGCAAGGAAAGACGACGCAGGGCAATCCGCGTAGAGCCCGCCCATGGCGAGAACCTTCGTCGTGAAAACGCCGTCCTTCTCCGCGCGCGCCTCCGCGACATGCGCCGCAGCAGATCACCTACCGATCCTCGCGCCTCCGTCGGAGGAGTGGCAGATGACGTTGCAACCGTCGGCCGGGATATCCTGGAGCTGGCGTGTGCAATATGCCTCTAAGTCCACGGTGGCGCTGACAAGGCAATCCGCTATCTCATTGTACCCGCGGGGCCTCCAAATCGCCGGGTCTTCCCAGCGGCGCGGCGGCGCCCAACCAAGGAAGAATGCGGCCTTCATGTTCTCCGTGATACGATGGCGCGCCTTCTCTGAGTCAGGGCTCTCTAGCGGCGACTTCGCGCAAATCACGTTGCACAGCGGCTGGCAGTCCACGATGGAAATGAAATGGTTTTGGCTGTTGTGCCGATGGTGTTGCGCATCATCCCACGCAGGGCCATGATATTAAGGCAAGTTTGACAAATCCGTCGTAACGCTGCGTCGGCGTTTCGCTGGATTTTGGACAGGCCCCCCTTCCTGTGGTCGCCGCTCAGGTAGCACTGGGAGACCCCGCTGCTCGCGCGCGGAATTCACAAACAACGGCGACTTCAACATCCATTCATCCATCCGGCAGCTCGCCGCTTCACGTTTCCAAGACAAGCCAAATACCATGACAAACGCATCTTCCCATTCAGGATATCTCCCCCCGCGCGCTGCATGAGCGAAACCAGCGCCAGAACGCCGCGAAAATGGAATGTCTTTGACCGCGCTCCACCATAGTCGCTGGCAATGTGGTTGTTGCCCCCCGGGAACGTGGCGCATAGTTCCCTCCGCGCCTCTTCGAAGACCTCTTGGAGTACGCGGTGATGT